ACTCTCTTTGGAGGCATTGCAGCATTTGTTGTCTAATATATGGAAGAAATGAAGTAAGAGAATCTTTTAACATGGTCTGAATGCAGTAGCAAAGTGACTGGAATGATTTTTTGCACTACTTTATATGCTGGAGAAATACTGAAAGAGACTTCATACTGTGAATGTTTACTAATGTAATAGTTCAATGACAATCATTGGAAGAGTGAATTCTGCGTCTTATTTTATTGGTTTTTTTTCTTTACATGATGCTGATAGCTAAGCAGCTAATGTTACATTAATTCCATATTCTTTTAATTATGAAAATATATGATCGGAAAAAGGATCGTGCAGTAAAATTTTATAATCAATTTTTTTAATCAGTCTATTCTACTGATACCCTTGAGAAATAACAATGTATTTTATATTTTCTTTACTGCTTAATTTAACATTCAAAATCCAATATTAATACATGCGCTTTGTCAATGTTGAAATATTAGTGTACTTGAAGGGGCTGTAGCAGTAATAAGATGTTCCACTGCTACAGTAATGAGGAATAAGAATTGCTAACTTTTAAATGTGCTATTATTGGTGCTGTGTTTTTTTTCCCCTTAATTACAGCTTTCACCCATGAACATTTGAAACAACCTTTAAGGCCAGAATAGGCATTCTGGGGTTTGAAATGAAAATTTTGGGAATCAGGCTGTCCTTGAGAAAACATTTCTTCTCACTTAGGTTAGGGCCAGTGGTACATTTCCTGTGCATCCCACACTCTTACTAATCGAAATGGCAGATGTGGCTGTGCAAGGACTACCCTATGGGGGCTACTGTGAATCCTTCTGTCTGGAATGAATGCATATTTAACAAAAAGAGTATAAAGAGGTATTTTTGGGTTCAGAAAAATGCAGGAATGGCATATTGAATGGGGACTGTTTTGGAACAGGCATTGTGGTTCTAGAGTCATCCAAATTACTTAACTTGAAAAAGTACTGACATGGGCACTTTGGAACAGGTGTACTAAGGGAAAAAAGGGGAATTACAGATATGCAGAGTAATTTTGCAATGATAGTCCCAAGGCGGGAACAGGAATGTTCTGGAGCTGAAATGCACAGGACATCTTTTGGGACTCAAAACAACCTCAGTTTTTGTAAATTGGGTGTCCTTTATAGCGTACATATCTATCAGGCTAGCAGTGTTAATTTGCAGCAACAGCATGTGGCACAGAAAGGAGCCTTAGGCTTAGGACTCTCTTAATTGGTTGATTTTTTTTTTTTGTTCCTGTGGGATTAGAACAGGTCATATCATCAAAGAAGATTCTCTGCCTGTACTCCAATACAATTCCAATTGCATTCCAATTGCATATTGAAGAGAGACATTTATAGAAGGTCTAGTGAAGACACTGCAGTATGCTATGCTGTGGTTAAAAAAGGCTATAGGTGAGCATCAGATTTCTAGCAAAATATCCCAAACTGATTTCACCAACTGTTTTGAAGTGGTCTTAAGAAGAGCTCCTGTTTATTGTTGACATTGCAAGTTAACTAGGTTTTAAAACGTATTACCTCAATAGATTTTTATCTGTCAAACTTCCCAAGAATTTGGTATTACATTTCATTCTAGCTATTCTAAGTGTATGGTGGGGGGAACGTATAAGGAGACAATGCCAATACTAAGGACGAACATTGCTGTATTTACCAGAAAATCAGTAAACAATGCTTCTCTAACAGCTGTCAAGTAACTGTGTTATGAACATATGGATTCCTTTGTATATTGGTTTTCTAGATTTATTGAAGACTGTGTAATACCAGACAGTCTCATTTGAGGCAATATAAAGATAATGAAAATAAGGGAATTACTAACTAAAGACTAAATTGAGCATTAGTAGAAAATTAGGACTGGATGTTTGCCTGATGATAAGGGAAAGTGTGAAGTTTAGGCTGGAAATAGAGAATGGATTTGAGAACATGGGCATATTACAGATATAGAAACAACTTCATAACATACATCTACATAGTCACAGAATTCAGCGTGGGTTGACTGTCCAAATATTTGCCCAGTTTCTTAGGCAGGTTTTGCTCCAATGCTGAGCTGAGCTCCATGCTGTTGCAGCCAGGCTGTTACTAGTATCCAAGATAGCTGTTTTTAATGCTACCTCTGGCAAGTCTATAGTGCATGGCAGTTTAAATGTACCATTAATTTCTTGGGAAAGAATATACATTGCATTCCTCTTGAGTACCTTGTAAAAACAGGCAGAGCAATCTTATGATACCTGCTTTGTCTCCTGAAGAAGTCTATTCTATGTATTTGTAATGGTCAAGTGAGGGGTTTTCATTATAAATGAGAAAAACTCAGGCTGAAAATTAGATTGTGCTTCTAGTTTGGCAAAACCAACTTTGAACCATATAAAGGACTCTGCATTTCCTGAATGGAAACAAATACCTTAACATGAGCTGCCTTTGGATTTGATCAGCCAACTGCTCATCAGTCCAGCCTGTTATGACGTGCTATGAAAATGCCACAGTTCCACCCAGAAAAGACTAATGTTTAAAGATCCCAAATGCTCAGTGTAAAATACATAAACCCAATAAAGTACAACAAGGGTTGAAACAATGTGCAAGAGAGATCCTGTGTTGGATACTTACAATTTCTATTTACTGTTGCTGCTGTCAAAGCTTTCTGAATGCCATCTGATGCAGACATCTACCATAAAAAATTTAGGCATTTAGTCATCATTTAGGCATTCTGAGTATCTTGAATTATAAAGGGAAATACATCTCTGATGTAACTATAGTGAATGGAATTACACTAAGAACTAAGTTGGCTCTAATATTGAAGTTCAAACCATACCACAGTTGATGTATGCTCTAGTTACAAAGAAGTTCATTTTTATAAATAATATAAAACGAGATATTTTATTTTGAGCTTGATTCATTTGCATGGGTTTAAATGTGAAATAACTGCATTAGAACTAAAAGCAGCAGAAAGTGAAATTTCAAAGGGACACCATTACTTAACTTTTTAAATTGGCCTTTATATACAGAGTAAATAAATATGTTTGTTTTTATGGCAGTATTCATGCCAAGATAAGAAATCAGGTTCCTAGAGGAGAATGCGTTTTCAGTTAACCTAAAAGAGCAGTGTATTTAATGCATAACTTAACTTCAGAGATTAATTTGTTTCCCTTCTTTACAACTTACACTGGTTCATGGAAAGCTCACTTTGGACTCCCATAATTGTGTGAAATCAAGTGTTATGTTTCTTTGTTAAAGAATTCATGTCCAGGCTTTTCAGTGTTCAGAAAAGCTCACTGAGAATTATTCCACACAAGGCTATTCCAGATGGTAGAAAGCACAATTCTGTTTGTTTTTGGTTTGAAGGACAATCTCTTGTCCCCTTTTTTCTGTGTTGTAGAGTCTATATTTTCATTTGCTTTTTTTGTTGTGAAAAATCATTTTTGGGGGGGCTCAAAGGCATGAACGAAGCTGTTATAGCTACGTCTAAGCTATGTGTTTTGAGAATAACAACAATGTATTGTAGAATGTTTTTCTTTGTCAAAGAAAACATGATTTGATTGGAGTTTCAGTCAGCAAAGCCTTGTTCTCAGTAACAAAGAAAAATGGAAGCCATTTTTGATGGTAATGCTTATAACCATTTTGGCATCAGGTCTTAACCCTGAAAAAAAGAACCCTATTTTGTGGCCCCTAACATGGGGAGTTCATGTGAAATGAGGAGAGTCCATTCTGTTTAATCTGGATTTATATAAAATCAATAGGAGGTAGCTCAAGAATATGAAACACTTGTACCTCCTGTTTGGATACATTGCATTTTATAGGGATAGTGTAATATCAAAAGGCCTATTCTGATTATGCTGTGTTCATGGAAAGTCTTTCTTGTGAAGTATAGAGTTCTGGTAGGTGCCTTTACAGTGATTTCAGACCTCAGAAACAAATGCTCTAAAACTTATTCTAAACTAAGTTTTAGAATAAGATTTATGAAACTTTGTTCATAGTTCTTAGATTTGAACTTTCTTTGGAGATTTATAACTCATGTCCTTTATACCCAGCTTTGACTGATCTTGCATCGGTTCTACTTTCACTGTGTGCTGTTACAAATAAAGACCTAAAGTGATTTAAATGAATTAGCTTGAAATAGTAGTATACTAAAAACGGGTGAGCTTTAAACAATTCACATAACATGTAAACTCTATTTTTATCATAAGATCAACCAGAATGGTCATCCATAATATTTATAGACATGGCACAGGGTATGTTATTATATTGTTGACAATCTGAATGATCATATACTTCTGATTTTGCAGTGAATGACATCTGCTTCAATGGTTTAACATGTTTGTGCATCTTTGTTTGAAACAGATACCTGTGGAGAAATTGGTTATTTTTAATCATGTAGACTAAAATGAACGTTCATTTCCACCAAGATCATCTGAGGT